CACACAACCCAGAAAATTCACAACAACCCAAATTACAAGCATGCCGGAAGGTTTGCAGAATCTTGCTAATAATATCAAAACTCACAGCAACCCAATTTAGCTCGTCTTTCTAAATCACAGCTTGAATTTTTTTACTTTTTGAGCTACAATTCCCAGGATGCTGGGGGATTCTGGGTATTGCATTCCAAAAATATGATTATTTCAGTTTCCGGGATGAACACATTCCTGAGCACACCCTCACTCTGGAATGGCTTACCTGAGAGTCAATTTCATTGACTTGTGTGGAACTGCCAAGTAAATACAACTAGGAGTGGGTTGTTAATGTGTAACTGGCCCAATGAGGACTTTCCTCTTTCGTCCGTTTCCTCCTTTCAGCAGTTCCTTCTTCACACCTTCTCAGCCTTGGGCTCTTTTCGAAGCAGACAGAACAAATGAAACTGTGTGAAATGTTAGAACGCCTTCTCGTCTTTCGCCTTCATCTACGTTTTATAGACTGCTTTTCCAAAGTGCACTTAATGCTGACTAAAGTACCTTCGACGGCATTGCAAAGGAGATGAGTTGTTGCAGCTACTATTATGATTCTGGTTGGCCTGCCATTACGTCCAATAACTTTTTTGTTCCTATCTCTCTCTTTGAAAGCACTTTCTTTGATAGACGCACGAATGAATCTACAGCGCAGAACGAATGCAGTTTGACACCACTTTACCTGTCATGGCTCAATGTTCTGGAATCCTGGAAGTTGTAGTTTTACATGGTCTCTCTGAGACGGGACTGGGAAGCACTGTCTTGCAGTGGCTCCCGTTCTTTCTGGAGAACCATACCCAGATGGTGGAGCTGGGGGACACCTGTACAACTCCCTGGCTGGTGACTTGTGGGGTCTCACAGGGTTCGATTCTGTCCCCCATGCTCTTTAACATTTACATGAAACTACTGGGGGAGATTGTCAGGAGCTTTGGAGTTCAGTGTCAAATTTACCCAGATGACACCAAATTCTATTACTCCTTTTCACCAAAACCCAAGGATGCCACGCTGCCCCTAAACCAGTGCCTGTCATCAGCGATGGACTGGAAGAGGGCTAATACTTTGAAGATAAATCCAGGCAAAACAGAGGTACTCCTGGTCAGTCAGAAGGCGGTTCAGGGTGTGGGATTACAGGTCCTCAATCTGGGGGTGATCCTGGACTCATCGCTGACCCTGGAACCACAGGTGTTGGCAGTGGTCAGGAGTGCCTTTGCACAATTAAAACTTGTGTGCCAGCTGTGCCCGTACCTTGAGACAACAGATCTGGTCACAATAGTCCATGCCTTAATTACTTCCTGTTTGGACTACTGCAGTGCTCTCAATGTGGGACTGCCTTTGAAGATAGTTTGGAAGCTGCAATTATGAGGGTTATTTGGAAAGTAAGGTTACAAGGCACATAGATCTCATGGGAATTTTCTCAGGGGAAGTTGGCATCATTGCTGTGCAGCAGGAAGTGAGCAGAAACGAATGAGCAATGCCAGTTGTTAGTAGCTCATCAACTGGCATTGTGGTGAAAGTTAGAAATGGGAGTCCTCATTCCATTTCTCTTCTGTCTGTGTCCTTCATGACAATGCACATCCTCACACTGCTCATGCAACACAAGAGTTGTTGACTTTGTTTGGTTGGGATGTTTTATGCTATCGCTCTCACAGCCCCAATCCCGCATGCAGTCACTATCACCTGTTTACTAAAATGAAGGAACACCTGGGTGGAAAACACTTTCACCACCACAATGAGGTGAAAATTGAAGTGATGAACTGGCTGAAAAAGGCAGCGGGAGACTTCTATGACACAGGCATAAAATAACTTGTCGCACAGATGACAAATGTATTGAACTAGATGGTGATTATGTGGAAAAAGAATGTATCACCTATTCTATAATCCATGTAACTTTTATTAAAATATATTCTTTTTTTTTGTATTTTTAAAAAAATCTTGTAACCTTACTTATTGGATATCCTTATTTGAAGGCAGGCTAGGCAAAACTTGACTATTTACATGACAGTTTATTTATTTATTGCATTTCTGAATGTCATTCTTGCAATTCATCCCACCTGGCTGAGCAACTGTATTTCCGAGAAGCATCACTCCCTTCTGTGTCTTTTCAAAAACAAAACTGAGTGTCTGCAGCACACCATTGATTGCAAGATCTCAGAACAAGACACTTGGGCATTCATCGTCAGTTTTCCTTCAAGCAGCAGAATTCAAAGAGACAAAGCCAACCCAACACCTTTCAAGGCCTGAAGCTCAGCAGCAAATGCCACTCCTCTGCTGCTATTAAAAAAACCCTAAATAATAATTTCTAGCTCATTCATGGCATCCAAAATCCGCTGCCTGAAGCAGTTGCCTCACTGCCAAATGAGAGGGAATCTTGCCATATTCAGTTCATGTTATGTGTTTTAATTGATTTATGTGTTTTGACTTCTATGTGGTTGTATTTTAATTTGTTGGTGTTCCTCATCTCAATCCATTAAATTAGGTGGGTGATAATTTTGTGTATCTGTATAAACATATTGGTATATATGAAATCCCTCTCTAAGGATGCATCTTCATTGCACAATTCATACAGTTTTATACCTTTTTGGAAAGTCATGACTTTTGAGATCATAACCTTTTGGCAAAATCAAAACCTCCAAAGACTTTTGGAAGCATGACCTTTTATTTATTTCAGTGTGGATCGCAGATCATGAGTGGGCTGTGAAGACGAAAATCTGGTCCATGAGCCTCCTTCCTCTTTTTTATTTTATTTTATTTTATTTCTGCTCCTTTCATACCGCCTGCCACTCTTTCCCTGTTGCTGATCATGACATATATCAGAAACTAGAACTGATGTGGTCTATCCAATGCAATTTTCTGAATCAGCACCCCAAACCGAACCTAAAGTTGATCAAAAACTGATTCGTAACCGTTTTGGTACTAATGTTGGAGAGTAGTCCCTGGTCAAAGTGGCCCCTGGTCAAGTAGTCCTTGGTCAACTTTGTCCCTGGTCCAAGTGGTCCCTGGTCAGGTAGTCCTTGGTCAAATTGGTCCCTGATCATGTGGTCCCTGGTCAAATTGGTCTCTGATCAAGTGGTTCCTGGTCAAATTGGTCCCCAGTCAAATTGGTCCCCTGTCCAAGTGGTCCATGGTCAAAGTGGTCCTTGATCAAAAAAAGGTTGGGAACCACAGATTTATTTATTAATTTATTCTATTTGTAGCCTGACTTTACCCCGAAGGGGACTCAAGGTGGCTTTACATATGGCAACTATTCAATGCCGTTGAACAACAAACAGTTAAAAATGGTTGTTCTTTATTCATTCAGGGACTGAATATGCCAACTCCATTAATGCCATTAAAACTTACCTCCATTGGAACTTACCTCTAAGTCAGCATTCATACGATTGCACAGCACAATCCTTTGCAATGCACTTTAATTTGGAAGGAATTCTGTGTGGACCCAGGAGTTCCACAGTTTAAGCTATCCAGGCTGATGTAAGAGTTTACCTCTGAAAGGCAAAAAGTGCAGCCCAGACTTTATTCTTCCCTATTATCATTCATGCAAGACACACACTTTCTGACACTTACCACTCATGACCTGCCTCTGTTGTTCTTTTTTTCAATAGGTAATTTCAGTTATTTATAATGTCATCATGCCTCCCAAATCCCAGTTTTCAGACCCCTCCCAACATAACTTTGTAGATGACAACAGTGATGGGGGCTCGGGTTAAGAAATGCATGCAACGTCACCATGCAACCTTGCTCCAGCTGATAGGAGAGGGCTTTAACAGCAGACCGCCCCGTTGTTTGTGGAATGTCTGGAAGTGATATTGTTTAGTGAGGCAGACTTGCAGACTCATTCCTCTCTAATGATTTTGGAAAGGAGCAGGACTTTAGACTGGCCCAGCTCACAAGGCTGTCATGCTGCATCCAAACAAACTCAATACATTTTGCCTTAAGTGCATTTCAGAGCTCCAGTCGATAGGAATTATGGGGTGCGCTTGAACAAAATCCACAAGCTTTGACTCTTGGCACCCTTTCCCATTTTTACCTTATTTATACCCCACACATTTCAAGTCACAAAGATTACTTGGAAGTCTTATTATTAATGGATTTATATATGAGTATCCATCACTGCATATTATCCTGTTTTGATGGGGCCAGTTCCGATTGATCCTGTCTTCCAGCTTTTCGACTGCTTTTAAAGCATCCCATTTTTCTACTTCTCCTCCAACCATTAGTCCTTATCTTATTTCTGTTGATGCGAAGTGCAAAAGTGAGAGAAGAGGACAAAAATCTTGCCCTCCCGGGAGTTTCAAGCAAAAGGAAACTGCTGAAGTCTTTCCTAGGATGCATCTAAACCAGGGGTCCTCAAACTAAGGCCCGGGGGCCGGATACGGCCCTCCAAGGTCATTTACCCGGCCCTCACTCAGGATCAAACTAAGTGTGAAACGACTTGAAAGCACACAACGACGACAACAACAATCCTATCTCATCAGCCAAAAGTAGCCCCACACTTCTCATTGAAATACTAATAAGTTTATATTTGTTCAAATTGTTCTTCATTTTAATTACAGTACTGTTTTAAGTGGGTTTTTTGCACTACAAATAAGATATGTGCAGTGTGCATAGGAATTCATTCATGTTTTTTTTTTCAAATTATAATCCGGCCCTCCAACAGTTTGAGGGACTGTGACCCGGCCCTCTGTTTAAAAGGTTTGGGGACCCCTGATCTAAACTCTAGAATTAATGCAATTTGACACAACTTTAAATGTTATAGAACCATGGGAAAATGTAGTTTTAGCCTTTTCTGCCATGGGGCCTCGGCAAACTACAACTCCCAGGATTCCATAGTATTGAGCTACAGCAATTAAAGTGCAGCCCAACTGTAGTGTGGATACATCTCTAGATGATGATATTGTTTGGCCACAAGTGTAATGGTTTGCAAAATTCTGTTGACAAATGTAAACTTCAAACAGGGTTTTGTTGTTTGTATTTTGCAGAAAATATACTTTTTTCTGGCTCTTTTGGAGGAAAAGAACTGGATTCCAAAACGATTCTCTGCTATCAAGAGGAGGAAGAAAGCGTCAGTCTGCTCCTGGAGCCAATTGTTCTAGTCTGGCTGAGAGCAGACTGAAAGGACAAGCTTGAATGGATTTCATAGGAGGCTGAAGGTTATCTTCCTCACCAGGAAAGATAATTGCTTTGTTTTTACAATTTGGAAAAAGGGCACAGTAAGAGAATCAGGGAAGCTTTTCTGCCGTGCTGGATTATGCTTTTGCAATGGCTTTTTAAGGCGCCAGTGTAGTGTAAAGGTTTCAGTATTAGACTGTGAATTTGGAGCTCGGGATTCAAATCCTCAGATATAGAAACTCACTGGGTGACCTTGGGCATTGACCCCGGTGGCACAATGAGTTAAACCCTTGCACCGGCAGGACTGCTGACCAAAAGATTGGCAGTTCAAATCCCGGGGGGGGGGGTGAGCTCCTGTCTTTCGGCTCCAGCTTCCCATGCGGGGACATGAGAGAAGCCTCCCACAGTATGGTAAAACATCCAGACACCCCCTGGGCAACGTCCTTGTGGATGCCCTATTTTCTCACACCAGATGCGGCTTGCATTTTCTCAAGTAATTCCTGACACGGGGGGAAAAAACCTTGGGTATGTCATGTCACACTTTCTCAGCCTTAGAGGAAATAAAAGATAAATACTGTACAAATAAAGTTTGCCAAGAAAACCCTGTGAAAGGGTCACATTAGGATTGCCATGGATTGGAAATTACTTGAAGGCACAAAACAGTCACTTTATATAGTTCGAACAACACTTAGGTTTGCCACCTTTTTGGCTTCACAGGTTGCTTGTGACTTTAACAATAGGCCAATGAGTAAGTATTAGCTGTTGATGCGACCCCTTAATACAGTTCCTCATGTTGTGGTGACCCCCAACCATAACATTATTTCTGTTGTTACTTCATAACTGTAATTTTGCTCAGAGAACCAATTTCAAACCCTCCTGAATATTAGACTCTGGTTTTAGAAAGTACAGAAGTATTGCCAGTATTAAAGTTACTATATAAGGCTAACACCTTACAAGAAATGTGGAGAAGATTTGCATGTTCCCTTTTCTTTAGTGGTATCTTTGTCTGCAGAGACGGCAAGGAAAGCTTTTGATGGTATGCAGATAACAGCTCCACCCAGTATCTGCAGCTCAAACCACTATTAACTGGGGCGAGCAGAAGCCGGTATGAGAACTGGGAAGTCAGCTTACATTCAGGCGATAGCATCTAGTACCCATTTGTTTCAGCCCAGTCTGCAACCTCAGAGTTTGCAATCTTAACTCCTCACTACATGCCAATAAAAAACCCAAAACAACCCAATGCCAAATTCTTATGCAAATGTTTTTGCTGCAGTGCTGTTGTGGTTGGGAATGTTGTGTTACTGCAGCATCCACATTGCATTGTGGTAAGGGTTTTATTTATGCTCCCAGAAGATTGTCTACCAAAGTGGCTATTAACTGCTAACTTATTACCACCTTGAATGCTGTCCTAAAATTTTATTTGTTTTGTGCTGTCTAGAATTCAAATGGCAATGACTATTGACTTGCCTTTTAAAAAGAAAATGGGGCAAAATATTGAAGGATGGCTATTCACCGTGTGTGCATCTATTCTGTAGAATGAATTCCCCAACCTTATTTTCCATCTTCATCTCTATGATACTTCATCTTGTTGATGGGAAGCTTCCCACCGGTGTGGAAATCATCTATCGGACAGATGGCAAGCGATTTAACTTCAGCAGACTGAAAGTCAAAACCAAGGTCACAATAACATCTTCTTATAGAACTCAAATATGCTGATGATAACCCATTCATTGACCTTGCAAAGGCATTCAACACAGTGAATCGCAGTGCTCTCTAGATCATCCTCCAAAAAATTGGGTGCCCTGACAAATTTGGGAGCATTCTACGGCTCCTCCATGATGGCAACAGTCTTGGACAGCAATGGCTCCCAAAGTGACCCATTTAAGGTGGAATCAGGTGTCAAACAGGGATCTGTTATTGCCTCAACCTTATTTTCCATCTTCATCACTGTGATACTTCATCTTGTTGATGGGAAGCTTCCCATCGGCGTGGAAACCATCTATCGGACAGATGGCAAGCAGATTGAAAACCAAAACCAAGTTTACAACAACATTTGTTATAGAACTTCAGTATGCTGATGACAACATCGTCTGTGCGCATTCAGAGAAGATCTACAAGCCACTCTAAACACCTTTACAGAAGCATACAAAAAGCTCAGCCTCTCACTGAACATTGAGAAAAGCAAAGTTCTCAGCCAATCATTCTGCAATGTCAGAAATACAGCTTAATGGTGTAACATTAGAAAATGTTTCCACTCCTTTGGCAGCCACCTCTCCACCAAAGTCAGCATTGACACTGAAGTACAACACTGCCTGAGCTCTGCAAGTGAAGTGTTTTTCCAAATGAAGCAGAGAGTTTTTGAGGACCAGGACATCCATAGGGATACCAAGGTGCCTGTTTATAAAGCTATTGTCCTCCCAACCCTGCTATATACCTGCAAAACATGGACTGTCTACAGGCATCACATGCAACTCCTGGAACAATTCCATCAATATTGCCTCTGAAAAATCCTGCAAATCTCTTGGGAGGACAGTTGGACGAACGTCAGCATGCTGGAAGAAGCAAAGTCCACCAGCACTGAAGTGATGCCCCTACGCCATCAACTCCGTTGGCCTGGCCACATTGTCTGAATGCTCGATCACAGTCTTCCAAAGGAATTTTGTTGGATAGGAAAAGAGATTTAAAGATGGGCTTAAAGCTAATCTTAAAAACTGTGGCACAGACACCGAGAACTGGGAAGCCCTGCCCCTTGAGGTCAGCTGTAACCAGCAATGCTGTGGAATTTGAAGAGGTACAGATGGAGGGGAAAAAGAAGAAACATGCCAAGAGGAAGGCACATCAAGCCAACCCTGACTGGGACCACCTTCCACCTGGAAACCGATGCCCTCACTGTGGAAGAACATGCGGATCAAGAATAGAGCTCCACAGTCACCTACGTAGGCATTACCAAAACACTGCACATGGAAAGCCATCATACTCAGACAATGAGGGATAACTAAGCAAGTGTAAATACTCTGTAGAATGAATGCAGTCTGACACCATGGCTCAATGTTATGGAATTGTGGGGATTGTTTTATAGGGTCTTGAGCCTTCTCTATCAAAGAGTGGTCTTGGCGCACCAAACTATCATTCTGAGAATCCCATAGCATTCGGTTATGGCAGTTCAAGAGGTGCCAAACTGTATTCATACTTCAATGTAAGTACAGCCCACGATGGGCTTATGAATTGGTTGGAACTAGCATAGATTTGGAAGGGATGACAAGGGCCATCCAGTCCAACCTCATTCTGTGCAGGAACACACAATCAAAGCACTCTCAACAGATGATCATTGCTCCATGTTCTAGCCCAGGCATAGGCAAACTTTGCCCCTCCAGGTGTTTTGGACTTCAACTCCCACAATGCCTAACAGCCTACCGGCTGTTAGGAATTGTGGGAGTTGTAGTCCAAAACACCTGGAGGGCCAAAGGTTGCCCATGCCTGTGTTAGTGTTGGGAACAGCCGAAAACAAGCCTGCTCCATCTTCAGTATGACATGTTCAGAAATACTAGAGCTCTGGATTCAAAAAGGTGGGGCGGAAAGACTGACTCAGTCTCTCCATACTGTATGAGTTTCTAGCTGTCACAGTATTACTCAGAACAAGATGTTGCCAAATAGCAAAAAACTCTTGGAGAACCACCTGCCTTTCACCCCACATGCAAACACACTACCATTATGGAAGATTAATTCCCCTTCAATTGCCTAGCCTCATCTTTGCAATCCTGGAAGTTATAGTCTGCTTTGAATGGGATTATATGGCAGTGTAGACTCATATAATCCAGTTGAAAGTAGATAATGTGGATTATCTGCTTTGATAATCATACAATCCACATATAGCAGTGTAGAAGAGGCCTAAGTAAAATGCCTTTGTTGAAGTATGTCACACAGAGCCACCCTATGGGCAACCACAGCCTGGTTATCCAGGATACCGGCAGCCTGGTTATGGAGGGCAACCAATCTCAAGTGTTCCTGCCTCTCGGTATGGTGTTCATAATGGACCAATAACAGGATATCAGCCCGCAGGTCCACCACAAGGTTTTCTAAGAAGTCCTGGCACTTCTGAGGCAGCTGCATCAACATCTAGAACATCAGTTCCTCCTGGACAACCTCTCTATAGTCTGTTTGGACAAGGAGATTTTATTTATTTATTTATCGTATTTATATTCCGCCATTCTCACCTAAAGGTGAGGGGACTCAGAGCGGATTACAGTGCACATATACATGGCAAACATTCAGTGCCATTTAGACATACAACATATATAGAAAGACACAGAGATAATTTAACATTCCAACTTTTTTCGGCTTCATGAGGATATGCTTGGTTCCAGCCACAGGGGGAGCTGCCGCTTCACCGTCCACTTGTGACACTGGATCCTTTGATAGAGTACTTCCTTATCCTTCTGCACGCTGCTGGAAGGTTTTATGGTGTCGTAAATTAGTTAAATTAGCTTCCCTGCATAAAGCGGTACCTGAATTTCCTACTTGACAGATGCAACTGTGTGCTGTTACGTGCTGGGCCTATAGCAGTTGGCTTTTGAACAGGACATGCTCTTTGTGCCTAGTGGGAAGCCGGGGTGCCTCAAGTGAGAGGCCCTAAAGATTTTCCTGTACAGAGTCTTTAGAAGCTTGAAAGGTTTAACAAAGTCCTTTATTATTGCTTAAGTCTACAACAAACAATCAAATACTTCTTAGATCTTCAACAAATTAAACAAATGCTTCAAGGCTTTGAATCAACTGGTGGCTTTCTTAATCTTGTCCACAAGGGACAGGCAACTGGCTTCATGAACTGTTTCTTTTCTTTAAGAGGAAAACCCTTTTTAACCCCTCCTTGGGCAATCTACTTTCTAAACTTTGCTGGTGTGGGCTCTACTCCTGGCTCCAAACTGCTACTTGGGTCCCAAGTAGACCTACTAGTCAAGGCTTTGTAGATTATCCAGCTAGAGTCCTTTGGAATTGTTTCCCCCCGGAATTTCCCCCGGATGCTGTGAGAAATGAAGCTTCTCTACAGGTGGAGCTAATCCACATCCTGTAGCTAAGCTTTCCAATGCAAGACTGACCTAAAATGGCTCCCTCTCCTCCCAGAGCCCTGGGGAAAGGGGGGAAACCAAAACTTAATAATGATTGATGGGTCATTGGCCCTATAATTGTAAACCAAGGGAAGCCACCTTATTGCAAAATGCATGGAACTTTGGAATACATGCAAACACTCAAAGAAAGAAAAGAAAGTTAGAGCTTTTGGTACAGGCGTACCAGCACAAACTGTCTTTCGGGCTGCATAGGTCAACAGCAAGCTAGACTATTAATGGTCAGGAGCTTACTCCAACCCGGGCTGGCTTCGAACTCATGACCTCTCGGTTAGTAGTGATTTAATGCAGCTCTCTACTAACTAGCTGCACCACAGCCTGATTCTTATGTACATATTCTAAACCCCAGTGAGACATTAATATTTTTGGAGCAAGCTATTAATGGTATTGACAAAGGGATTTTTCTCTGTTCTTCTGACACATTTGAGTAGCCCATTGACCAGTAGTATGTTCAGAACAGATACAAGAGAGATGCTATTTTATGTAACCTCTGTTTAACCTG